TGACCCCCTACACGTGTATTTGATTTCCTGCTTTCTCAGTTTTTCTGTGCCATCATGAGCCAGTCATTTCCTGCCTCCCCTCGCCTTTCTGCGAGGAAGGGGAGTAAGTGCTGCTATTTTGGGAGCACAATAATGAAATGTTTGAATTGCCTAAAATGTAAAGCTGCATATGTGCTCGGGTGATGAATACTTGCCCACCTTCCTCCTTCCCCATATTGGATCACATTCTTCTCAATACCTTTTCCCCTTCTGATGCATAGGAAGGTGTTTGCAAAGGGGCTTGGTGCAGGACACAGAGGCCTCTTGGTCTGGTCGTGACTACAGGATTATGACACTTGGTGAAACCACTTGTTGCACTTCGCAGCAGTTCGTGAGACTGCAATGTCTGATGTATTTATTGTCTAGGTTTGTTATTTATTCAGGCTCTGGCCCAACAACGTCCTGACCTTTCTCAGCACTAGCACACAGTGTATGGATAAACGGGGTTTAATCTACTTTTATCTACTCACTTAGTTGAAGAAACAAAAGTTGGGCAAACAGACTTTGTGCTTGGACTGGCAGGTTTTCCTGCCAGGTGATGTGTCCATCCATGTGCTTCCATCACACTGCTGACATCCCTTGTTTGTCAGATCCACCCTGGCACCCTGTGCATCCCCCCAGCTTGGTGGGCATGAGAGTGGGATGCACTTCCAGGCACAGCAGTGGGATGCAAGGACACAGCACACCCACTATGCACTTGAAAAATAATGCACTATTTTAAACACCTAATCTGGAGAAGAGTCCCTGTTTGCTCTATCACCCATTCACCTTTTGACAGTGCAAGAAGTGTGTTAAGATTGCATAATAAAGTGGAAATACTCATTAATTAGACCTAAGGTAAAGACCTTTGGATGAAAGTGAGGTACTTAACATTGCTTTAATCTATTTAGTTTCCCTCTTCCCCATCATAACAAACCAAGCAATATGCAGGACTTCAGGCTGGTAAGTGTATGCTGAAAGTATAAAACAGTTACAATATTAATGTCTAACCTCTGGGCTCTTCTACAGACTAAGTCAATAAATGTGGCTGCTGCTATACTCAGTCTGATCCAGCAAATGACACATCATTGCTTAGAATGTAATGAATGTTATTATGACCTTGCTTAAATATTTCCTGAAGGAATTTGTTCCACTTTCATATCTCTCAGCAACAAATCCATCTGCATACAGACACTCTGCTTCTGAATGGATTATACTGCATTAGCAAAATTATTGTGAGACATGATTAATAGTCTTGTGACGAAGTTACATGTGGAGGGGGAAGACACATGCTGCTTTCATGATTTTGCCTTTAGAATGAGCAAGAAGTTTACAGAGAATATAAAATCAAAGGGCTTTACTTAAAAAAATACACCAAAACAAGCAATATGCGTGTGAATGAATGAACTGCCAGGCCAGCCTCTGTGTTCAGGGACAAAAGAAACTGAAAACATGAGCTCGCCATTAAAAACAAATCCACGTTAAACATCTTGTATTCATCCCACCGCTTCATCGGTCCAAAAGCAGTGCATTGACTTGAACACTTGCAAAAATCACCATTTTCATTGTAGTCGTTTCAGATTTCTTTAAATACTTTGGAAGTAAAAGGTCAGAAGGCAGCTTTCTATGAAATTGCTAAATATGAGTGCTGGAGGATACTAGACTAACAGCCTGTGCAGAGAAGTCCCCCGGTATTTTCCTGTTACTAGATAAAAT